AACAGTGGCCAATTTATATTTAACAATTATTCGCCGAAGGCGAGGTGAATATCGTCGAATAATCCCCGAGACGAAGTCGAGGGGATTATTCGACAATATTCACCGAGCCTGAGGCGAATAATTGTTTTAGTATAATTTCAGAGCTGAACAACAGAGAAATTTCTAAAATCATAACACTTTAGTAACATTTGTTAACATTTTATTTTAACATTTTATATAAACCGCGTGGAGCGGTTTATATAGTGTCATATAAGGAACCGCTCGACCAATCAGATTGCTGAAAACTCTTTACTCAGCTCTGAAATTATACTAAATACATATACACATAAATATGAAATATAAAATTTAGTCAGAGAGCTCCTATAAAACCCAGTAACCTTGCAAAAGGAAAGAAGCACCAACATATGTTCATGAATATGGGTTAGTGCGTATTAAATACTGCTACACTTTTAAGGATAGATGCTGCTCCATGGTTCGTTACCATCATACATTTCATCAGGTCTCCCAGACAATTGTCGGCTTCTTACTTTTACTCCCGAGTGGCAAGAGCCTCGTGCATTTTGCACAAGAACACTACACAGTAATCCAACTAAAGTTCGGACCCAAACTTCTCAAGTTCAGCGCGCCAACATTTGGCCGCCGCATCTCACACAACAAACATTTATATGTATTCAAGGTAATATTGAAGTAAAGGGAAACAACTTACGTCGTCTTGAGAAAGAATCCTCCAAAAATCAACAAAGGTAACATAAGTGGAGGACCCAAAGATGTTGCTGCTGTGATGGTTGGTGCTATTGTCGATACGATGTACCCTGAGAAAAAAATATGCAATCGTCAGAAATAGTAATAACGAACACACACTGTTGGCTCTTCGCTTCAATGGCGTGATTGTTGTTTGGTTGGTTGGTTCGATCGATCGATGATTCGTTAATTCCCGTTTCTGGGTTGGTTGGATTCAAGCTTGTTTGGTTGGTGGTTGCTGGCTTCGATCATTCATTCGAATCGTTCGTTCGAAGGTTTCTTGGTTTCTTGGTTTGTGGGCGCAACACTTTAAAGGCTTGACGGTTTTTAGGTTTGTTAGTGAGTTGGTTTTGAACACACACACGGAAAAATTGCTAAAATTTTCCCTTAACAGAATACTACATGTAACTCTGGTTAGTTTGATGCTTTGATGGTTTGGGACCTTTTGGTGCGAATCAATAATTTTATATGTACAAAGATTTCTTTATTAGATGGTTAGTTTTTTAGTTTGCTCGTTTATTCGTTAAGTGACTAAAGATGGTCAGATAGTTGGACGTTTCGTTCTTTGGTGTGTTCCTAGTTCTTTTCATCAATCTTTCGAAGGTCGTTTAGTTAAGTACTTCCAACCACCTCGTTGGCTCATTCGATCGAGGGTTCGTTTGGCCGTCGGTAGGTTCGTTCTCTCGTTTGGATTACTTCGTTCGGATTCGTTCGTTGGGAGCGTTTGTTCAGTCAAAATCGTTTTTATATAAACTTCTGATTGTTCCATTCATCATTTCCTTTAGAAAATTGCTTTCTTTTCCTGATCATTATTTTTATTTATTTATTTATTTATTTATTTTTTTTTACAGTTTAAGAGTGTTGGTTTCATCTAGAAGTAAAGATGAAAGCTTGTTAACATGATTAAAGTACACGCCACTTACCAAATGAGACCGCCACATTTGTTACCAAAACCATAACTGCGTAACAAATTACGAAATTTAAAAATCTATTCCTCAAGCCTGCCAAGAAAGAAGTAGAAAAATAATAGTTTCTTTGAATGAAAAAAAAAAAAAAAAGACTACTCTAATTGCTTAAAACTTCACTAATCATTTCACCAAAGCACCAGCTTCTCACGAGTGCACTCAGAAAACATAATCATTATAAAATAATCAACGAGTGAATCTCATCCCTTTTAAAAATATTTCTTACCAACCATCCAATACGATATACCCGTCAGAAGGAGAGGAGTGACGAAAAAAATGGGCACCTATGAAAATAAGTTAATCACATGTCTAGTATTCCGTCCATTCATTCACGTATCAGTAGATCCTTTGATCTAACATCCTGGAACTTCCCAAGAAATCTATCCGTAAGCCCATGTTATAGAAATCTCGCACTTGATTGAATCACAAGTTGCTTTCGACATGGATTTAGTGACCACATCGTCAGACAAACGATTATACTTCTCTTTTAAAACTTAATATCGTTGCTGCTCATAGTTTTGTTGCCGGCCTTACGTTCCATGGGTTAGTTCCTTCCGGCATAATAACATTCCAGAAGAACGTCTGGTGATCTCAATTAGGAGACTGATGATAACTACAAATTAAATCAACTCCACATGACGGTACCTCAGACAAAGTCTTGGCCAGATAATAAACGTCTGTTCTGTACATTCCATTTTTGTGTTCTCGCATAAAAACAGGTAATTCGACTGGAAACACCTGTTAAGAAAAAAAAAAAAAAAAAAAAAAGAAAGAAAGAAAAAGATTACTTCAATACCTGTGCGGCAGTTCAACTATTTTACTTTTCCCCTGAGGTGTAATCGAATTGATTTGCACTCAAAACACACTTGAAATTCGTTGACTACACGTACACGTTTTCTGAAATACGATTAGCCTTTGACACCTGAGAGTGACCCGTATAATTAAATAATTTAATAATAATAATAATTTATTTACTTATATAGCGCCCTTTAACATTATCTAATTTCTCCTTACAGTACCCCCCCTGAATCACACATTAAGGTCACGAGAATAGAGGAAATGATCACCGTCTAAAGAAGCTCTTGATTGTTAAACAAATGCTCCTTGTCAGCACCTTAGGAAATGTCAAGAGATCATAAAGGAGAATATGCATGCTGATGGTATAAAGGGGTTGATTTCTATGATCGTTTCTCACTTTTTTCTTACAACTATGCTCATTGATCAAACTCAAGGGAAGAAAAAAGGAGAGAAACGTCTGCACATTGGCGTTGATATACTTACAAAGATGACTCCTTGAAGACTGGAAAACGAAGCAGAAGTAACAAGAAAGAAATAAACGCCAGCAATGTTCTGGATACCATTTTGGTCATAAGGTATTTGAAGATAAATTAATCCAGCGATCAGTGCAGTGACCTAGGTAAAGTTCACAGAAAGAGGGATTAAGATCGAAATACAGAGATACGTTTATTTCGCAACTTGTTAAGAAGTTAGGAGAACCAATAAGGTTGATTGAAAAATCATGTCGGCCAAATTTTCAAATGTAGCTCTCTGATTGGTTATCGAGCTGGCGTCTCACACTCGAGTACACGCTTGTCTTTAATTATCTATCAGAAGAGACCAGAGACGCACCTCAAAATATAAAAAAGGAAAGAAAAGACAATTTACATATCCAATATATAAAGAAAAAAACCCAGCCATTTAAGACTAAAAAAACTTCTCTGTTTTTAACACGTTTATGGCGAGGAAGAAGGTAATTAGCATTAATAAGTAGTAAAAGAGCTAAGAACTTCAAAATGTACCTAACTGCTGTGAAGGTGTCTGCCCGTCACTCCCCTCCCTTCCCAACCCAACGCTATGTCGAACATTATTCATTCAAACATGCGGCTGGATTTCAGAGGGTGGGTAGGGGGGAGGGGACCGGAGGGGAGAGGGAGGGGAGCGGAGGGGAGAGGGAGGGGGGAAGGAGGTTAGGGGTTTAGATAGAGACTCTTTTCAGGGGTGGTTTTTTAATCAGCATTTAAAGTACTTTGCCACTGACTTTAAGCCGATGTCTGAGTCTCGAATAGTCACATACGTTTGATTGATTGATTGATTGATTGATTGATTGATGGATAAAACTTACAATGGCTTGAAATATTCTTATTCTGAAGATGATGATGTCTCGATTGTTAGTAATCCAAGAGCGCCACAAGACGGCCCAAAGCTGTCGACACCAGGAAGCTTTGTATCTACGAACAAAAAAAATACAAAAGTGTAAACTTTTTGACAATATCATACAAAAAAGGCGACACAAAATACAAGTTATTTGGAAAAAAAAAGAAAGAGAGTTCAAATTTTCTCGCCCTTTCCAAAAAGATCCCTGTAAAAGTAATTAAAATATTGGGCGATTTTTCTATCATTCTTTTTTTTATGGCAGATTAGACGAAAGTGTACACGTGCAAATTTCTCTCGCGGGCGCGTTTAAACGAGGGCAACACGACCTAGTGCATGACACACTAACGACAAAAGCTCAACGTATGATCTCGCGTTCAAGTCAAGAAGTAATATTTCTTACGGTGATCGCTTCTTGAAAAGAACGTCTCCTTTGAAGGAATCCTGAAATAAAATAAAAGTGCTAATGAAGTAACGAAACATCAAACCCGGCCGCGGATGGTCAGGAACGGAAAAGATGAAATTGGATTGCTCATAAAGATCTCAAAAAGTTTGGGCTCAAGTCACTAAATACACTAGGTCCTTACATCTCTTTGTAGAATTAGCGAGGGAAGTTAAATGTTTGCCACTTATGGAAGTTAAAAGATTATTTGCACATCATTAATTATAACATAGTCCAGTTATGCTGCCTTCCCTAACATTACATGTACAATTAACATAAGACTATTCTTCCACACATGTGAAGGAGAGTATTAGAAGCAGCTTTGTTATCAGGGTCTCTCTTCTTTCTGCCCCTACCCTCCCTGCTGGAAATGAGGTGTGAATGTTACGGAGCAAGGATGAGGTGGGGGGAGAGGGTGAGAGAAGAGTTGAGGTGCGCCACCAACATTGTCAAGCAAGTGACGATTGCGCGTTATCAGCTCATGGACAAGATAGCCAACAGTGGGGAGCGCGCGCTATCATCTCATGGAAAAGATAGCCAGCAGCCATAGAGAGTTTAAAATCTAGTCATAATTCTGTCTTTGACACACATCACATTGTATAAACGAGAAATCTAAGCTAGGGTTTTAAGGATCATTTTACCGCCTGCCACAAACCTGTCGATCAATCACACTTTCTTCTTTGGCAATTTCTGCTGCACGTTCACTGTACACATCACAGATTTCCTACAGTGTAAGTAGGAAAGGAAAGTTACATCGATTGCCAACAATAACGTTTGGTCTTTCCTGACTATTTACTGGTACCCATCTACAGGTGTACACTACTGAGTGAAGGGAGGCACTGTGAGACGTTAGTGTCTCTCCAAAGAACACACCTTACACACGCAGTGACCCCTTATTGAGGATTAAAACTCAGACTTCCCAAAGGCGAGTCCATTGAGCTAACAACTATGCCACCTATAAACATAACACGCATCATCTGATTGGTCAATTCAGTTTCCAAGCGAATGCTTTATCAGGTAAGAAAGCCCACCTGTAACTAGCTATGCGAGTCATAAAAGCAATAGAACGCATTTTTTTTTTTTTCGGGCTCTATAACGTGATGAAGCCACTTTTGATGTTGGGAGAACACTCGGAAAGCTTATCAATCACGAACCGAAGTTCTCCCAACACCCCGCGCGGCTTCAACACGTTATAAAGCCCGTAAAAATAAGTTCCATGGCTTAAGTCTGCACTCAAGCCAGGTGGACTTCACGAGGCATCAGAGCTTATGCTGGTCTCCACAATAAGACTGGACGAGAAGTTATACAACACGTAGCTACTACACCTGGATGTGATGCCAGTCCATAGCATGTTACCCCCTGTATTTCATCAAGTCTACCTGACAATTTGCCATAATCCATTTACACTCCTGAGTACAAAGTTTTGGCCAAGAACTCAACACAATGATCAGAGGCCCGTTTCCCGAAAGTCCCGATAACGTAACGGGCCCAAAGCCATATCTTCAAATCAAAATTTATAAATGAGAGAAGCATGTTTTGCCACTGCAACGAGTCCATTTTGTTTCTTTGGCTGACAGTTTTATCATATAATTTTTAAAACTTTTGAGGCCCCCATCTTAAATGAAAACAGAACAATTTTACCAGGACCTTCAAGAAACCAGCCCCTGGCCCTGTTTCCCAGCCAGACCTCTCACCCTGGAGTCCACCAGACTTAATCCATTAATAGCCCATTTCCGAATTACCCTTAGCCTCATTTTCAAAACGAGTCCTGGTGCTCATCCTTTCATATGATAATACGTTTCCATTCACATGCAAATTACACTCATTTTCACAAGAATGGTTGAGCACCAGGCCTCGTTTTGAAAAAGAGGCCAAGGGTAATTCGGAAATGCCACCATCCAATCAGTGAATGCTTTTTCCAATATTAAAAAGTATTCATTTTATATGACCCATCAATTTCTTTTGTTCTTCGAACACTCATTTCTTGTCAACTATACTTTACCTTAACTCTTTCTTTGCACCTTTCTTCATCTCCTGGCACAATGGCCAAAGTGTGGACAAAGTAATCCGCAGGGTTAAAGTTCATAGGACAGGGATACCCAAGGCTGCAAAAGAAACAAGAGAATGTTACATGAAGCTAAATACAATTTATATAAGGCTAACACCGTGCTAAAGTACCAGTTGAATCACCAAGGAGATTTGGAAGGCCTCAGGGAGGTTTATATGTACAAGAGGCATTACTGTGTGGTTTTTTTTTAGTTTACTTTACTGTTTTCCATGCTTTCATTCTCTCCCTTCCCCTCCCACCCCACATTTTGGCAAGCATTCACTCCACAAACTGGTTTGTCAGTGTTGGTTTAAAAAAAGGCCTGGAGGTGAGCAGTAGTTTAGTTGCCATGGTGACTTCCTTACTTTTGTGGATAATTTTATTTGCCATCCTTCTCTGTTGCTACTTTCACAGCACCTACCCTCCCATATAATTGACAAGGTGATGTAATTCTAGGTTAGATACAATTTTGTCCCTTTCCCTGACAGGTTACTGGCAACATCCTCTTACACTTCTGGGTTGAGTTCAAAACACAGTTAACCTAAATAACCCCTGAGTCAGTAGAGTTAGTTTTAACTTAAGTTTTATAGCTCTGCCAAGAGATTTTTCTTTTGTACTTTTTTCCTCTAGAGTTTCAAGTCATATTGAGAGAAGACCCAACAAAGCCTTAGCTCTTACATGCACTCTAGCTTCTACAAAATCAAAGCCAAAGTTAACTTCTAATCCTGGATCTATGTCAACCCCCTTTCGAATAACCAAGCCCTGGATGGAAAAATTTAAGTGATTGCTATGGGATACAACAAAAAGACTGACTGTCTGGGCGATGAATCTTGGAGAGTCTCTTGTGCTAAGTTAACCATAATTATACACCCTTTACATCCCTCTGAACGAAGTCACTGCAATGTCTCACATGGCGATTGCATGATTTCAATTTTTTATCAAAAGAATATCAAGGCTAGCCTTCAGTGAAAATTCAATAAAAATAAAATGACAAATTTATTCACAATTTTTTAAAGTCATAATATAGTGTTTGCAAAATTTCCATACAATTTAAAAGATGATAAAAATTATTATGCAAATAGCATAGGATATCAGAGGCATACATTTACACACCCAGTAAAGTAAGGTATAGCATCAGCTGTAGAGCCCATGTAAGCTATTCTTCCTTCAGCCATCAGCAAAATGCTGAAAAGAAAGAAGTAAAACCACAATGAACTGGAGCAGAAGTCTTCAGGATACCTCTGATGAGAATGGTGGTAAATATCACAAATTCTCTGCATATTTTAAAAGGATTTACAGTCTTGTTTTTAATGCTACCACTTTGAAGATTGAAAGTTACTGAGACAAAAAAGAAGTTTCAAATGAACTTCAAAACAATTTCAAATCCCAAGTCTCTCCACAATTCTTTTTCCACCTCCTCTACACATCAAATGTTGTAATTAAAGGTGATACAAGAAAATTGCAAATGCCACATTATCAGGCTGTCAAACACTAAAAGAAGAGTATTGGAGTCCGTTGAAGTTAAAAATGATTAAAATATGTCTCCACGCCCAAAGACAATGCACAAATGATCCAAAATGCCTTAAATGGTTTGTCTAAGACTGACGTTAATCAACAGATTAAGTGCCTTACTCTATGTGAGATTGAGATCAGTGTCAATATCTGAACAACTGCACGCCCACCTCTCCCCTGTAACTCAACACTAATCCTGCCTTGTTATCAGTTAACAGTTCACTGGGGGTGGGGTAGGGGTGCAGTTTCTCAGATACTGATTCGGGCATTGATCTTGAGATTGTAACCCCTAGCTAGCAGTCTCACAATCAGCACATTCGGATCCATTCTTATAGGGAAAAATATATAAAGTCACAAAAACCTGGATTATCAAATGTAATCATTTTGTTCGTGGAGTAGTTAAGCTATAGCCTACCCTAGGAAACAATCAAAATTTTACCTGTCAAACATAGCATACACTTCAGAAGATGGCTGATGTATAGTGCACATGATAGTTCGACCACTGGCTGCAAGGCGCTGAAGTGATGCTATTAAACTCTGAGCCATGAATGCATCCAGGCCAGATGTTGGTTCATCAGCAAAAAGCAGTGGAGGGTTTGTCAACACCTTGAAACAAGATTATATAATTATATATATATATACATATATAAATAAATAAAGCTTGTATACAATGTGCACTCTAATGTGCATGTAATAACAATTAAAAGCTTGGCCCTGTCTCTAAAGAATGATGAAACTAGACTTGGATTATTTTAGCTATATCAACAAAGTTGAAATGGTAAATTGGCCACCATAACGATTACAAAAGCTGACGTTTCAAGCGTTAGCCCTTCGTCGGAACAAATAGAGTTCCTCTATTCGCTCCGACAAAGGGCTTTTGTAATCGAAGGGCTTTTGTAATCGTTACGGTGGCCAATTTACCATTTCAACTTTGTTGATATATCTAAATTATTTCGTTACCGCCACCGATGCAGCCCCAAACAGTCTCTTTAGAAATTATCAGCCTTTATTCATTTGGATTATTTTACTCAACTGACTGATGCATTTGGTGGTGGTCCATATTAGAGGGGCCCCTAACATTTTATCTTGTTTCCCTAACAGCTTAATGACACCCATTTGCACTCTTAGGTAGAGAGTCACTTTGTTCTGTGTCGTGCCCACATTGAAAACACTGAATATAGGTAATTGCACAAACCCAATCTCTCTATCTGTTGTTTAAAGCATGCATGCTATAAACAAACCAATCAGCTGGAAGTGATATCATGAACTAAGACTAATTTACATTCTCCCATTATTTCTGAGTCAATCTTTTGCAGACAGAGGGAATTTAGATTAGGATAAGTTCTTCAAAAAAAAAAGAAACAAAATTTATTAAGACAATTCAGTCATTAAATAAAGCCAGGGACTGTACGATCAAAATTTAATGTCACAAGATGCACTAATGAACATGCACAGTACATACCTCTGATGCAAATGCTAAGCGTTTCTTCTCTCCCCCAGAAATTCCACGCAATCTTCCTGGAATACCTATGACTGTGTCTGCACACTTTCTCAAACCAAGCTAGTTGATAGAACAAAGGAGATCTACATATCAGAACAATGCTATGGTGCTGTAATTTTTTAATTTAACATTTCAATAGAAACCCAACATAATGCATTATAACATAACCAAAGTAAAGCACACCCTCTGACTGGTTAATTCAGTGTCCACCATTTGCCCATGGGTGCATGCTGCGGACACGAGCAAATGCAAAGACTACAGTAGCTTTCATGCACTTGTTTTTTTTTCTGTTCACATAAGATTTGTTAAATAAAAGAGAATTAACCCTTTTGCTACAATGCGTCAATGTTATCTAATAAAACAAATGGTAACCACCACTGTGTACACTGTTGAATTATGGATGTACTTGGGAGGTTTGCTAGCTGGCAATCAAGAAGCTAGAGTCATGCAGTCTCAGCTATCACCTCACATGACTCTTACACTTCTTTCATGCTTAGCAACCTCCCACCTGCATCCATAACTCAATAGTGCATACCACATGTGGAGTTAACCATTTGTTAAATTGAAAATATGTAACAATTTTAATACAGTTACGTACCTCAAGCATGACTTCCTCTACGCGCTCCTCTCGCTTTGCCTTGGGTGTGTGTTTATCCATACGAAGAAGAGCCTAATTTCAAAGAGCAATTGAGTTCATTGAATTGATTTTAATTAAACTTTGACTACAAAATTTACCCTTTAAACCTTAATATCAGTGTGCATATTCTTTATACTTTCTCCATACATTTCCTGAGGTCCTGTCAAGAAGAATTTCTTCAATCAATCAAGAGCTTCTATGGTTGGTGATCATTTCTTTATTCTCACAACCTTATGTGCCAATTAAATTCAACACTTCAACATTTATACCGTCCCCACCCTTGGAAACCCATAGGAATTTGACCCCCTTCCATGCCTGGGGGGGAGTGGGAAATTTGAAGCCTGCCCAGCTGGGGGTGGGACTTTGAGCTGAAAGTGTCACTCTATAATCACACTAATGGGTAACTAATTTACTGGAGGTGGAAAAACATCTCTTATTGTATAAAAAAATTTTATAATTTAGGTAGTCCTTAGCTAAAATATTTACATCAAATTTAATTTTTTTTTTTAATTCTATATTCACAAACACAACGTGTAACATGTATATTAATGACTCATACAGGTATGATTCAGCTTAGCATAATATGTCATAATAAATCACAAGTAAAAATAGCAAATTAAACCATGTGACATTACATCATAAATATATAGAAAACCTTATATAATTTACAGTATAAATTATAACTGTGACATAACAAATTGATGGCATGTGACGTATTTACGAAAAGCCTAATAAACAGAGTAGAAATAGTTGAAGGAGAACGTAGAAATTGACTATTTTCAGCTTTAAATAATTATTACTTCCTTTGGGTGAATGTTCATTTTAATTAGTAGTCACTGCAAACAGATTTGAATTTAACCCTTCCTTCAAAGAGTGACCAAAATTATAATAACATTTCTCAATATCAGAACATGTTCTGAAACAAATATTAAGGAGGATAAGAAGAAAGGAAAGTTTCAACTAGATGATGTTCATGTGGTTTGATTTAACCCCCAAAATTCTCTAATCTACTGGCAGATGTGAAGAATTTATATTTAGGAAATTTATATTTATTTCATGGAAATGAAAGAGTTCAAAAGCACCTGAAAGAGATCTAGTCTCAATATGGCTACAACTGATGGAATGACTCCCAAAAGGAGACTTCTTTGTATTATATGGAATGCTTAACAATTGCCACAGAAGAAAGAGTTTTAAGTGTAAGGCTGTGGTGCTCTAAGAAAAATGGAAGGGAGCCCGGTGCTCTGAAACTGTGGAATCCAGGTTGCCCAGCACATGCTTTTTGTCAAAAAGCTAAGATTACCGAGTCGCGTACCCTAAAGAAAAAGTAAGGCACCAGGGGTCACCGGATGCTGCTTGACCACAGCCCTGAAGGGTCCGGCTTCATTAATTAGTTTGTACCCGCATGTGCACGATCAGTGGTCAATCTTGTGGGCTGTATTTCAAGAGGCATAATAAATATCTTATTAACCTCTTCTTTTTTTCGGTCTCTACTATGTGCCAAAAAAAACCTTCTTTTTCCCTGCACAAGTTTAACGTCTGCACACAGATCCACAACTTGCAGTGCTGACCTCAAACTTGGTTTACTTAAGTACAAGGGATTCAGTTAGAGGACTCATATCACCAAAACAAGACTTAAGTCTACTGTGTAATCAGTTCATTAAGGAAAGAAATTAATACCTGGAATATCAAATGTTCTCTAACTGTGAGTGATCCAATAAACAAGTCTTCCTGTTGGATATAGGCTGACAAAGCATTGATGTCGAGACCAATAGGGTGCCCATTTACTTCCACTGTTCCCATCACCTGCACCTGGCCAATGTTACGATGTGCTAACACATTCATTAAGGTGGATTTACCAGCTCCACTTCAAGAGGAAAAAAAGTGTCTTGCCAGTTAACAGTCTGATCATTTATATTTATTTATTTTTTTTTTTTTGGCATGAATGATACACAATGCAAGAGTCAAATGAATAAATAGGAGAAAAGCAAGCAATGACATTAATTAGCAGCTTGAGATATCTTTACTTGACTCTTCTCCTGACTCATTGCCCAACACAACTCCTACAGAACTAAGGGTGATTTTCTACTGGCTGAGTGGAACGAAATAAGTGGAAAATGTTTTTCTCACACACCGCTGGGGCCTGGGGATGGGTTAAGGTCATGTGATGTGTAAGGCAGTCAGTTGTTTTTCGTTGACCGCCATTGCTTGACCTTCCCACCCACCCACGAGTTTTTTCAGTTGTTCATTACACTTCTAAACGATTTTAGATTTTGTCTCGATTCTTAACTAGTTCATGTTTTGAAACTCCATGTATACTTGTAAAATTTGATAGCTGTTATTGTGTGAATAAAGGTCAGGCTTGCGGTGGTTGGCTTGACATGGCTCCCAGGGGTGTGTGAGAAAAGAAACCAAACAACTTCCCTGCAGATCATACACATAATTTGATTGAACTATTACCTTTAATTCATATATGAATGAGAGGGTCCTGATTGCATGGTCAAAAACCTATCTTTTGTTGCACTGGCTAACCCATAGAAAATTGAAGTTTATTTCATAGAAGGAAAATTCCACAAATTCTCTATAGGTTTACCAGCAGGATAACTCTCTCAAAAAGTTTGTAAATCAACTGCCTCCAGCTTCTGCTTTGCAAACTTTTCTTGTGTTCTCACAACACCCATGTTGGTTATTACTCTGTTAAACTGATAGAGGCAGTGCTCGAAATTAAAAAAAATCCAGGTTGTCCCTATTTCAAAAGCCGGGCCACCAAAGCTGTGAATTTGGTTGCCCTGATGAATCCTTGGTTGCCCGGTAGAAAATCACAGGGCGGTCAAGCTTGAACTAATCCCATAGTTCTTAGTGTGCGGCAATGGTTTTCGCGGAAGGCTGGGTTTAAGTTGTGGCATATTCAAAATGGCTTCTTTGATCTTGATCGCCTCCAGACAAGAAACTTTGAGTTTGTCTCTTACATTTTCGTACCTGGCAATGTTATATAAAATTTACAGATATCCAAAACAAAGAAAAACGCTTAGCTGCAGCAAATTATTATTATTAAACTTCACACTACCCGACATTGACAAAACAAAACCATCACATAGCTAGGTCAGGTGCTGTTTATGGTTAATTTATTTTCTATATTTGGCTGGATTATCCGTTGTTTTTTTCCCGGACAGTTACCAGCCTCTTAATTTTACTAAAAATTGGTTGCCCAGTAAACTTTTTGGTCGTCTTGGACGACCGGACGACAGCTAATTTGGAGCACTGTAGAAGGTGCGATACCATCTATTTCATTACTTACTCAAGCTTACTGGTTAAAGATAACAAAATGTAACAGTCGTTTGCTACCTTGATCCCATGACAGCCAACAATGTCCCAGCCTCAATTTTGCCATTCACTATTAAAAGACAAACACAATAATACTTATCAAAGCTCCGTGATGAAATGAAACATTACCATGCGATGAAAAATAGCTACATTAAGTGGAACCCAAATCTAGGGGGGGGGGGGGAAGCTAGACACACTACAAGTTTCTCTTCCATCTTCTCATTATGATGAAATTGTATGAAGCAGATTCACCTTTATTTAAGGGAATGTAGACAAAAAAGTGAACACTTTCAGTTTGTCTCACAAAACCTTACTATGCTAACAATTTGATTTAAGATGTTTGCATTTCACTTTTGATATATAAACAGTCACTCAACAAAGTTGAATTTTTAACATTTAACTGTCTTCTGGAAATTGGAGGTTTATTTGTCTAACAAAAAGGGCCAGATTTGAGATTCTCTGTGGTTATCCACGGTCTTTGTTTTCTTCATAATTTTTTTTACAAATCTTCTTCTATTTTAAAAGTTTATTTAGGGTTATGAACCCATTGGTTAGTGGCTTCTCACTGACGTCATTGTCATTGATGATTACATTATCAGTGGACTATTTTTGTCATTTTCAGCCTCATAATAGCATCATGTGGTTTTGCGGCAGCGACTGTAAACCACAGTTGACACTGTTGTCAAAATCGTAGTGAAATGTGGTCAAATACCAAAATTCAGAAATAACATATATTTCCTGTAGTGTTTACAAGTTTTGACAGTTTTATATCTGAGTGTTCAATTTGATCATGCAAATTTTAGTCAATGTTATTTTCAGATTATTGCTTCAATCTTGAGATCATCGTTTTTAACACAGTGATCTTTGTGTCATTGATTTCTTCCCGAATACCCATAGAGAGGCTCCGATTCCGAATTAAACTTTTTACTACACATGATTAACATCATAGTTTGAAAGCACAATCTATGATCTATACTGTTTAGAAATGAATTCTTCTAGTTTGTCAAACACTGCCCAGAGAAATGAAAAAAACTTCTCACATACATGATCGTTGATTTTGAAATAAAATGGACTTATTAGTAAATGGGGTGATCAACTATAATAGTTAGGGGGACCACAATACTTGGCAACAAAATTATCTCATAATTTGCTAGCAGCTCATACTTCACGTGGCTCGATCATCTGAGGTAGCTTGCATGAGTGGCTTAATTAAGTTAAGTCAACTGAAGAGTAGAGAGTGACCTCTAGGTCCTCTGATATGAAAAGTTCAAAAGAGTTGCAAAAACATTTGAAGATTTGAAGTTTTAATGCACCCAATTAATCACACTGCTTGGCAATTGAAGTAAAACCATACTTTTGCATGAAGTTTTCCTTGATTTCCTTTTCCTCTTGCCGCTTAGTATTACGTAACTTTCGTGACCACAAATTTGCAACAAATAAGTTGGTGGTTAGTTTCCAAGTTAAGAGCATGCACCCACAAAACAACAACTATTCCACAGCACGCTAACCAATCCACGAATTCCTCGAAAGAGAACGAAAGAACCTTGTGGAGAGCAACAGTGGTCAGTTTTCAGACTCATGTGGAAGAAAGGATACGTGCGACTATGCATAAAATTAGGATCAAAACCTAATGCGGGAACAAAAAATTTAACATCTGATTGCTTGCACCAATTATTACAAAGACTTTTTGTAGCGCTCTTACCTTCAAATAAGATCTGTTTGATCTTGGGCTCATCTTCTTTCTCTCCACAACACACTCGCCGACAGATAGAAGCTCTGGGTTGGGGAACAAAAACGTTGATATTCTTCCATGATAGATCGACCTTCTCTCTGAGGTCTCCAACGCTTGTTACGTTTGCGATCACATCCGTCCCCGGGCCTTCATACTTTGTGTTAAAAGCCAAACTATTACCACTAGTAGACAATCCTGGCATTGCAGAGATTGTATCGAGGCTTTCTTGGGTTTCTTCATGGTTTATAAGCGTTGGGCTGCCTGTTTCCTCCATTCTCTTAGCGGCGTCCTTCGCGTCAACGTTGTTGATGTGGTCCGCTACACATGGCAAAACCAAATTTTGCTTCATCATGTCACGCAATGAACTAAAAATACACTGCGACTTTCAAGTTAAATATTAACTCAACGTTGCTCAGTGCTATTTCATGTTTACAGCCTACAGGTGTAAATGCCGTTTCATAACCTTTGACGTTAGAAACGACAAAACTAGTCAAACTTCGTAGAAAGGGGCTCAATTACGTAATAGCGTAAGTAATACTTGACGATTTTTAAAATTGTGCTCAACGCAGACATCCTAAGATGCAAACGAAACTATCCAACAAAGGCTAGAAAATCAACACGAACAAAATCTTTTGAGTCCGAGTAATAAAAAGAAGTACTAAATCCCATTCGCACTTGAAAAGCAATATCGAGGGTACTACTTTAAGTGGCTTAATAAGGAATTGTGATCTTTTTCCCGGTTTATATCCACTATGACTAACTTAAAGCTTATTTCTATACAGGGTTAATAATCCTACCTGATTCATTTTTTTCTGGAGCAGCATTCACGTCCACAACTGTCCACATTTCCACATTGTTCGTAGCAACCTCGGTCATGTTTTGGTTTATTGTTACGAAAGTGAACGAATTTCGATCACAAAGCTTCTATCAACCTGTACGTCTTACAAGAACTAGTAGGCATGCGCCAACAGGTCGATGCGTCGATGTGGCTTCCAAGACCTGTAGTTTTTCAAGAGCTTTTCTCCTAAAACCTGGCTATAAAGACTGCTTCGCAGCTACAAATTGGACTGCGTAGTTAAGTATCTCTTGACACGCATTCCAAGCAATTTGTTGCCCTTTTTCGTTTTCCGGAGTCAGTGACTGTATCGGTAAACAATTATGACAATGATATGCTTTGTGTAGTCTGTCTTCATTTGAATCCAACAAACCTCTGAATGATTAAAACACAAACTCTTTGCCAAGGCAAACAAAAAGATACATAGATAGACAGATAAAAACGTTCTTGCCGCTACTCACACGATCAGCGTTGTGCGGGAGGTCGAGGGTTCGAGCCCCGGCCGGATCGATACTCATGGTCTTAAAATAAGTGAGGAGAATTTGCTACCTTTCTATAATGAAGAAATGGATAGATATTCTAGTCTTCTCAGACAAGGACGAATAAACCGTAGGTTCCAGTCTCCTGGCAGGGCTAGGGGTAGGAGAAGTTAATTTCCTACGCACGAGATTACTGTGTGGTGGATGTCCTCCCCTGCGTGGGATGGGTGGGTGTTGGCCACCTATGTCTGTATGTATGTATGTACGTACGTACGTACGTACGTACGTATGTATGTATGTATGTATGTATGTATGTATATATGTATGTATGTTATCACGATTAGAACAAATCCCAAACCACCCATCACTGCTCCAGACTTAAATCTCCAAAACGCTGATAAAAGAGGTGTTTCGAAAACAGTTTCAAAAGTGTAATGTTTTGAAAACGCATCGTTTACTGCTCATTGGATCTTTTAAAAAGGTTGACGAATTACTAGCCAAATCCAAATACCTACGGGGAGGTGGGGGGGGGGGCTACTTGGGTTAGATTATAGCTGGGTATGTGCCATTAGCCTCCCAGAACCCCTACCTATTAGTGTATATTCTGTGACCACTTATAGCCCTCATCTTATAAGTCACTTTTAGGCAAATGTAATGACTTTCCAGTATCCGCGAATATTCCTATTTTTAAATCACAACTTACAAGAATGATGAGGATATGGTCTCACTAATTAACTGAATATGTATAGATATAGCTCTTTGGCATTCTAAAGCTTTGCTTTCAGCGTCCAAATCGAGCACTCTACTAGGATGAGTCATGTCGTGCAATTGAACGAAGCTCACTAGTTTCTAGTTTGAGCACTCTGGCACCACAAATGTGGAATCATTTGGGGTGGCTTTATAGTTTCACCCCCATCCTAGAATTAGCAGTTAGTTACATATATAAACGTATTTTAGTAAACTTTTTGGATTTTTTATTGAGTATATGCCTTCCTTCGCTCGAAGTTGTCCGTCCTCGTGTGCCACATTACTTCTTCTATTATTTATCGAGGTTTGGACTGCGAATCCTCTTGGATCCTTCTGGCGCGGCGTCACTGTTGGCTCGAAGCCTGTTAACTTGTTATATTTAACAACTATTCACCGAATGGTTAGTGGTGGATATTTACCGAGCCGCTTCGTGGCTCGGAAATATCCACCGCTAACCACCGACACTGAGGTGAATAGTTGTTTTAGTATATACTAAAACAGTGAGATAATATACACCACCAAAAATTGATTTTAATTCATACGATTCCAACATTTCAACATTTTCCCGCGCGTAACGGTCCAACGCGGCTCGGATCGCGGTAAGGGATTTTTTGTTGTAAAAACTGCCGTTTTGTTATTTCGCTGACAGATAAAATTTCTGAAGACATTTTGTTTAGCTCTGGTGGCGACATTTCTTCAAATGGTGTTGCAAACTCTTTCTGTATTTGAAACCATTCTGTAAAAAATACCATTCAACTTTGATTTTCAAGTAAACAAGTGAGGTTACGCAAGATTAATTTGCATTTGTAAACAAAACCTTTTTCATTGGTTTTTATCGATAAACTCCCGGTTACCATTACCTTTAAACACAGCCAAACCAAATTTAGTCGCTTTCTCTGTGTTTTCAGGGACTGCTTCGTTGTTATTTGAGTGATTTCTTCGCTTGTCACGGATGCAAACCGGCACGCCACTTTTTCTCGAGTTGCTCGGAGGTAAATAGCAAAGGATATTCGGAGTTTGACTAGCCAATCAGAGCGCGCCTTCAACGCTATCCACTGTTTTAGTATATACTAATAT